ATGTACTGCTCCGTACATGATCAGAGCATATTCATCAAATTAATTCCCTTTTTCAGCATAGTTTGAATAATTCTTGAAATATTTTAGCTTACGTGAATTACTTTCAATTAAGGAAAACTATTTTCTTCACAGTTTTTAATACACTTTTGATCAATACTTTGAATGGATTCTGTGCAACACCAAAGCAGCTGCAGAGTGCGATAGGAGTTCCTTAGTTACTATCTAGCACAAAATAATGTTATCCACAGAAATCAAAGCAATAAAAATATTTCTTTTTGTGGCTTTAATTATTCCTTAAGAAAGTAAACATACAAAGAAAACAACATACAGCCATTCTAGCTTGTGGAGATCTTGAAAAACACCAGGCTTCAAACTGGTTATCTTGTTGTGACTCAGATATCTGAAACAAGATCAGTAAAAGATAGAGAATAGAACACGTGATTAGTATGAGTTATGTGAAAATGAATTATAAGTTTTTTTTTCCTTTATAATTTATCATAGCGCTGATTTTTTTTATAATTATGGATTTTTTTTGAAAAAGAACTCACTAAGTATAATAGAAAAAAAATATATTCCCAGTCTGTGTCTCTGTCTATCAGAAAGCCAGTGCTTACGAGAGCAGAAAATGTGCAGATGATCTTTCACAGAAAAGTCAAGCAAGGTATAAATCTTTTTTTTTTTGTCTTATGTGTAAAACAAACAAACAAACAAACAAAAACAACCAACCAACCAACAAAACACTCAGGCTAACCATCTTCACTTTGTTATACTTTAGACCTGTTCCAGTTTACTTCTGTGGAGTGAATTATTACAAAAAATACCCTGGGAACAAATTCAGGTTTTGCTCAAGACATTTGTCATAAATTTAGTCACCAAAACTGGTTAAAAAAGCAAGTAAAGGTGGTGCTATAAACAGGCTAGGAATGTGGTAACAGGTAGAATAACAGATAATCATCCACGTCTATTGGAAGGAAAGTTAAGCAGCATAATAACATTTTTTTAAAAAAACTCTTTAAAACCATTGCAGAACAAAGTTGAACTTAACAATGCAGCTTATATATCATCTATTTCACTGACCTAATTCCTTGAAAGTTAGAAACATAATACATAAACTTGCTGCAAAGTAAAAATAAAAGTTCTTTATTGATACTGGCTTGCTTTGGTTTGCTTATTTTAGCCAAAGTGAAGTTAAAGAGTTTTTGTTCATCCCAAGCTCTCTTTTTTTTTGTTTATTCCTTATTCATTCCTACTGACTTAACGCAAGATAACTACCGTATTCTCTTCCTCTGAAATGCAGCAGATTTGTGGAATAGAAGTAAAACATGGAGCCGTCTTGTATTTTCAAAAGTACTTTCCTGCCAGATGAATGTGTCTGGATAAATTACAAACTATACGTGCAACATCTATCTTTGTTTTCTCAATCAAACCATTGAGCTAAAGGTTTGGACATTTTGCAATTTCCTAATATTGAAACAAATAAGAAAAACAGCTCTAGCAACTTTCCAACCTGTTCCCATTGCTCTCTACCTCAATATTTGTGCAGTAATACTTACAGCTTTGTCAAATTGTATAAACCTCTGAAAGCGCGTTCGGAGACAGCTCTGATCTTATTGTTCTGAAGATACCTAAGAAGATAGAGCAACAGCAATTAATTCTCTAAGCACACAAAGGCAAAGCATGAATCGCCAATTAAAATCTATCAACTAAATTGAATTCACGTGTGATAGTTGAGAAGCTGTCGAGCTTGTTACATCTTAAATTCCACAATAACCACTTCACAGCTGCAGTTGCAAAGCCTTCAAATGTGTACTAAAAGAAACAAAAACCAATGGCAGGGTTACAAAATTCATTCAAAGGTGTATTTGTGTTAGCAAAGACGAGCAAAGGAATGATTTTATAGGAGCTTCTCCTTTAGGCCCTCATCCTGCAGCCTTGTCTGTGTGACCACATCTCCACACTCAGCTGAAACGCCCTGTTGTCAGCAAAATGTTGCATGGCAAAGGTCAAATTTACACTAGATGTGGAAGTTGCTATTTGTATTAACATTAAATAGCTGAAAGGCTACATTTTAAGATAATAAAATGTAAAATGCAACTTGATTTTCTGTAAAATAAAGAATATTAATTTTTCCCCCTTCTGTTTAATTTTATCTAATTTGATGGACAATTAAGTTCCAACACATTATCAGCTACCAATATTAAATCCTTTAAAAAATTAAGGTAAAGCATTGTGGCCTTATCCTCTGAGAAATATTTAAAATACCAATTTAAAAAAGAAAAACCAATGAGAAGTGTGACCTGTACAAAATGGGATTGTGTCAAGCACTATTCAAGTTAATAAAATGCTGTTTTAAGGGAATATGGTCCTTGGTGAACACAAGATGGTGCTGCAGTACAAACAGTTTTCAGTGAAGTTAATTTTGGTAAGTTTTTTAGGAACCTTAAACCCACTACAATAGAGCCTGTTTTAGACTTCTGCCTTAGTTTCTTAATTGTACCAATTCTATATAAATCAAACTCATTAGGGTAAGCTATTTGAGGAAAGCGGTTTACACAATTACAAGATGGAATTAAGGGAAAGATAAAAAAGAATTTTGAAAATAGTTCTGTGGAGTTTTGTCTCATATATGTTAAGATCAAGACATGAGTGCGTGAGAGAGAAAACGAGAGAGACAGAAAGAGATTATAATTAAGGGATTTCATGGAGATTTTAAGTTGAAAGACTCCCTTACAGATTTTTAAGGTCTTGGTATTTCTTGAAAATATCAGCAGAAAGTTTCCTTAGCAGATTCCACCTGAGAGACCTGTGGAAACAAACACATATGGCAAAGCTCTGTCAGTATGCCGAAGCTGAGTTTATCCTGGCTGGTGCAGCATGAGTGCGTGAGAGACAAAAAAGAGAGAGACAGAAAGAGATTATAATGAAGGGATTTCATAGAGATTTTAAGTTGTAAGACTCCCTTACAGATTTTTAAGGTCTTGGTATTTCTTGAAAATATCAGCAGAAAGTTTCCTTAGGAGATTCCACCGGAGAGACCTGTGGAAACAAACACATATGGCAAAGCTCTGTCAGTATGCTGAAGCTGAGTTTATCCTGTCTGGTGCAAGTCCAATGACTTCATGTAGTAAAATGCATTTGCACGGTAAATAATTTGGTAGAAATTTCTGTAATAAATCCAGCATTTCCAGAGAGGTTAATTTATATATTCAGGAGCGTCTCCATACATTTTATTAACCAAAGGCAAGAGTGGCTATGTTGTTTAGTGTTAAATTCCATCCGATATGTTAAACCAAATCAAAGTTCACTGCATTGATCGATGAAAATGAAGAGATCACCCTAGGGGAGAATCTGGGCTAATGGATTAGGAGGAGACCGTGGACAGACACATGTGCCTTACCTATTGCTGCATATTTACAAGCACTTGGCCCCACTTTCTTCTTTACATACAAGGGGTTCCCTCTCAATCCTCCCTATCTACACGATCCAAAATCACCAACTAATTTTAGGGGAGTGAAATCAAGGGTATCACCTTTAGAACCAGGAGAGAGAACAATGCTGTTGATCAAAAACGTGCCACGTGGCACACCACTAAATTAATAGTTTTTAAGTCTATGTGGAAGGGCAATAGGGGATGGGAAACCACAGTCTGCATTTCTCAGGCTTCCTTCCAAAATTCACCATGAAGCCGTCAGCCCACAGGGCAGCAGCTGAGTGACAGGAGAAAACCAGGATCCATCCCTGCAAACACAGGGAGCTGTTCCTGTGGCACGCTGTCCTTGGGGGCATAGTGAGCAGATAACACCAGATAAAGATCCACCAGCATCTCCCGAGGTGTTTGGAGGACCTCACCTCCCTCCACTCACCCACCTTCTCCCCCAGGGTAAAGAAAGGGGAAACAAGTCTTGCAAACTGCTAGGGATAAACTAAGAGCAATATCAGCTGTTTTCTTTTCCTCCTCTCTTTTCCTGCAAAGTTTAGTTTATGCCTGTCTGTTTGATGACCCAGCCCAGATGAAGCCTCTCTAGTAATGGCCTATTCAGAGGGATGGAATGAGAACTAAAAAGATTTGCTCAGACAGGTGATTCTGCAAAATTTAACTTTATTAACTTTATCAGGAGAAATATAGAATAAGAATATTGGTAAGACCACAGAATAATGAAAGAGTCCTGGGGCATTATATCTTAAAAGGTAACACTTCCCTAAGATTTCTTTAAATTCTGTGATTTTGTAGCTAATCCAGGCCATGGTTACAAATACGAAAAGACTATTTCACACAGAGTTGTTTTAGCTCCTTTTCTCTTGTTTTACACAGAGACAACCTGGACTGAAAACCATGAATGTCTGTTCACAGAGAGGGGCACCTGGCTCCCACAGCCCCGCGCCGAGCCAGCTGGTCGTAATTACAAGGCTGTAGCTGCAAAACGGTTGCAGAAGTGATATTCAGTGGCCAAAGCAGCCACTTTTCTGCTCTACTTACATCATGGTTATATTTGGAGAGACGGAAGGGACAGCACGTAACTTGGCACCGTCGCAGACGAGCTCTAGCCCTTGGCACCTACATTCTGCTGGCACGGGGGCGGCCACTGCACGGAGACAAGAAAGGGGTTGTGGCAACAGGTAGGATGGGACGAGGAGGAAAGAGCATGGTGTAAAAGAGTAGTTAGCACAAAGACACGTAGACTACGTCAAACAGAATTTAAATCAGGTCTTGCACTGTTTTTGCATAATTCGTTTAGATGGAGGCAGATCCTCGCAAAAGAATACCAAAGGGTAACGAAACAATTCTATTATTTCCTGGCTTCTCTAAAATTGATTTTGCAAAGGAGATACAGACTCGATACAGGAATCTCATCTGGTAGGGTTTGGGGTAATGAAACAATTCTATTATTTCCTGGAGATATAGACTAGATACAGGAATCTCATCTGGTAGGGTTTACTGTTTGTTTGTTTTAGATTTTTGGGACTATCCTTTTGATTATTCAGTTCTCTTATACTTGACAGGAGGGAGCACAATTCCGTCAGGTGAAAACAGGATATCAATGGATCAGGATTCCTTCTGCACGCTCTCTTCCCTAGACTTGATTAGATTTAACTTAGTACTTGGAGTGGACAGAGTCAGAATGTCCAAAAAAGTGAGTTCTTGGAAATTATTTTGAAAATATTTTTAAACAATTAATGTGGGAAGAAGTGGATTTGAAGGGAGGTTGTTTTCACTCTGAAATATGCATGTTTCATGGGCTTTTTCTTATATTCAGATATTAAGATAAACATTAATATTACCTTTCTAATTGGCACATCTGATATTTCCTTTACAAAAAATGAATCACTTAATGAGCTTCAGTGCATTCACCAGTCTGAGACATTCATTCTTCTTTATGATAAATGACACTGCACTGTATTTCTATTTCTGATAAGCATATTTTGTATGTATTTCCTTCTGGGAATCATCAGCAATAATCACAAAAATATTTCTGTAATTACTCACAGCACTCAGGTGTCTTCGTCTGAAATATATACGGAGATTTCATTTTATTGTATCTGCCTTTTGCATAATGTTTATCAAATTGTTGAGACCATCCGTTGTTGTCTCCTAATTAAAAAAAAGAAAAATACCACTTCAAAGTATTTTCTAATAGTATAATAAAAAACAAGACTTTCAGTAATTTTCATTGTATGGCCCTTTGCTTCAGTTTTTACTGCAGCAACATGATTTTTACAGAACTTTTCATAGCATATTTAATGACCTTTTCTTTAGCTGTCTGTTTAACCACTAATAGGTGCTGAGATTACAATCTACCTAAAAGGATCGGTTTATTTTACCTTCAACAATTCACTTTCTGCCACAGTACACAAGAAAGTGCACTAATTAAAGCAATCATATTTCTCTTCCTCCCTAAATGTGTGGGTTTATTACTCACGTTATACTTCTTTGTCCAGGAAAGCTAAAATGATTACTGTATCTTTCAGCACTTCTTTGAGAGGCTGTTTCAACAATTACACCCTAATGGGTGAACAGTTATTTCATACCCAAATAAGGTCTTTGCTCAAAATCTAAATGCAAACAGCACTTTTCCAGAGAACATGTAACACCCTCCAATCATGGGGCTGAACTTGCGCTCAGTAGGCGTTTTCTTAAATAAAGCATTACTGCATATTACCACTTTGGTCCCTGTGCATAGATACAGTGCAGCACAGTAACTCATAGCTCTGAATGCAGTAAGAAAGTGAGGATCTTTCACTTCCTTCCCACAAATGGGGACTTCTACTTATGGCGGTGCTGGAAAACACTACAGATCTATTTCTCTGGGGACTGTTACATATTTGACATCTTTAAATAACTGATCGTGTAACCGCCTCCAAAACAGGACAGGAACATGCACCATCACCACCCACGCACACAAAAATTAGCTATTAGCTTCTCTTCTAAAATGGCACGCTTGGGGGTCCAAAGCATTGCAAAGCAATTTAAACTTGCTTTCTAATGAAACTCCCTGCCCAACATCTGTATTAAGAACTTTGCGGATGACTTGGCTTAGCTCTCTCCTTTGGGCTGTACTATACTCGTTATACTCCAGTATCATTCCTGTGGACATTTTTCCATAAGCCTTTGTATTCAAGTAAGCATTGCTACGCTATCTATGGGTTTGGAAACTGGTGGGAGAAATAAAATACATTTACATTGCCATAACACCCCCCTCTCTGCAGGGACGCTTATATTGTCATGGTATATTACAATTCAAAATGTAATATTAAAAAAATGTGTATATAGAGTATATAAATTGTATATATTTATATATAATTGTATAGTTTATATATATAATTTATATATTATATAAAATATACAAATGAAACCTGCCCTGGAAGCATGTCCAGCAGGTTGTCTGTGCTGTGCGGGCAGACGGAGCTGCTCGGAAAGGCTGCACGCTCTACGTCCTGTGTAAATGATCTTATGAAAGATTAAGCACTCCAGGCAGACTAACCTCATCTGCTTGGTCATTCATTATGTATAAATGGAAAAGGAGACTCAAGGCAAACCTAAATCTCTGTCTTCAGGAATGGTCCATAAAGAGAAAAGAAAGACTGGAAAAGTTTCTTGGTGACTTGAAAACCCAAACAAATTATGCCCTGAAATTCAGCAGCCCACTTGGAGAGACAAAGTAGAGGCACTCAAGCACATTTTAGTCACTTCCCCAAGAGCACCTGGTGGCCTGGATCCCCCAGCAATTTTGCCAGATTAGATCCTTTTTGGAAGAAGCCTGCTGCCCTGCAGAGGAAGGGGAAGGGGCCTGCCAGCTTGCAGCCCCATGGCATTGCCTGCTCTAGGTGCTCAGCAGAAGCTCCTCTCAGGAGTGTTTTACAGAACAGCAGAGATATCTGCGATGAATGAAGTGCTGGGAACAGAGCCAAGCAGCAAGCACCTTGCAAGGCAACTGCCCTGCAGTTAGGCCTGGGACGAGATGGCCTTCAGGGCTAATGAACCACGGGTTCTTCAAGTGGGAGAGCATCCCTCAAACTTAGTAGTAGAACTAGTGTAGAAATAGAATAAGGAAAAGGTTCAGACAACTTATCTGAATATATACTTAAAAGCCATAAAAGCCTTAAATGTGTTGTCAAACCAAGGGCCAGATAAGTCGCCTTTTTTTCTCCATTTCTCTCCTTCTGATGAAAGTGTGGATAGATGAGGATTTCTTCCAGCTTTTAGCACTTTTAGAATGCTTTGCCAAGTGCTAAAGCATTTGTAAAAGGAGACCATCACTGCAGTTTGTACCTGGGAGGAGGAGAGCGAGCAGTGCCCCTGCGCTGATGGAAACCAAGCGGTGCTTTGCTGCAAAGGGAAGTTCTCCAGCCTGGTCAAGAAAGCCACGAGGCTGCTGTGTGGCCGTCAAACAGAAGGGAAAAAAGGCACAGGGAAAAGAAGAGGGATTATTTTGTCCTGGAAGTGCTCCAGTTGTCTGGACTTTCTGGTCAATTCATTTCAAATAACTGGCTTTTCTCATGGCACTGTTTTTTCTCTCTTCTACTAGAAATACAAAGGCATGTCTAAATAAAACAAAACAAGTTATTCAAAGTTTTCTGACATTTAAAAATGTTTAGTTTGGACCAAGTTTTGTGCCAAAGCATGGGATGGTCTTCCTTTTATCCAAACTGTTTTGTCAAATCTCAGATGCATAAACTGTGCAAACAACTATATTTAGTACAACCATTGAGTCAACCTCACCATGCCAGAACTGTAAAGCATTTTGTGATCATTTAAAGTTTATCTGGCTGGTTTGTGACCCGTTTATCACCGTTGAGATGAGGTTCTTCAAACAGTTTAAGAAATGACTAGTCATAGTACTGGTCTTATGATCCCAAATCTGTCATTTGGGCAGTACAGCTCAAATGAGAAATGTCTTTTTTCCTGAACCAGTTCAAAAATAGATTATGTTGGCTGCACTTCTGTGAAAATGAGATTTGAGAAAGCAAGGCATCAGCAAATCTTCCACTACGTAGCATAAATGTAATGAGTAATTGTAAACTGGACTTATCAGACTATGCTTTAATACACTGCTCCTTGCTAAAATTCTGTCAACTACCATTTCTGGTGCGAATGAGAATGCAGATGAGAATGTTAATCCTAGCAAGCTACAGATTTGAATAATCCATTTGATGACAGATCCAAGAAAATATCTGCTTCACTCAATTAAAAATACAACTCATATTTAACACAGCACGTATGAAAAGAGCACTATCAGTTAGAGTTTGTCTTTCTCCCATGGTCTGCATGGGTCATTATACAGAGACACGGTTCCAGTTAGATGCCCAAGTTCTGCTCTTTGGCTTTCTAAAGAGATACGGTGACATTGTTGGTTTTTTGCCCGTGCTCTTGGTGCTACCAACTTATTTTCTTTAAGCAGAGATATTTTTTACTTACGGCAAGTCCAAACTTAGATTTTTACAGTGATGGCTGTGGCAATGCCTAGAGCACCTGGCTTTGGGAGTGAATTTCACAGCCCCAATTTAGACACCCAAGTTCCTCTATCTGGCAAATGGAAAAAATGAAGAACCTAAGAACTGGACACCGAGCAGCCAAAGAAAAGGCATTTTAGTTTAATGACATTTTAGTTTAGTTTAATGATTAGTTGAAAACTAGCTCAGGTACTTACATGATACAGTGCAATCCTGGGAAAGC